ATTTAATCCATATTTATCTTCTTGATATCTTTTTAAAATTGCTGCAGGAATTGTATGATTTTTAAAAAATTTTACTAATACTATTGCATTTGATAATATCTTTTGTGCCCAATCTAATTTAATAATATCACTAACAAGTAAATTAAGATTATGAGCTAGACATCCTATGAAAATAATTTTTGTATATTTTTTATCTAAAATTTTCCATGCTTTTTTCATAACATTGGCATTATCTGTTATAATTACTGATATTTTTTTTAAATCATAATTTAAAATAATTTTTTCTAAATCTGTTGCAATATTATTACTATTTTGTGAAACTTCATCTGTTGGTTTAGCATAAACAAATACAGGAGCTGGTGTAGTAATAATATAATTTGTCCAATGTTCTGAAACTAAATTTGTCCTAAAATATTATAATAAAATAATAATATTAAGTTTAATGTTTTAAAATTTAAAATTTATAAAAATTTTAAAAATTTAATTTATAAATTAATTAATAAACAAATTAAGTTATTTACCAGCCATCACTAATAATACTAATAAATTCAGCTTTGTTAATAATATTATCAACTTCATTCTTAGTTTTTTCATATATCTTATCCAATAAAGTTGTTGAAAGTTTTTTTCTACTTGGTAAAGTTAAAGATGGTCTAACTTTTTTAAATAAATCTTTTATTGGCTTTAATTCAGGCAAAGATAAAGACAAACCACATTGAAAAATTGCTTGAGCAAATGATAATTTAATATCATCATGTTCTGCTTGAGAGATTCTATTAACAAAATTTTGAATATTAGAAGTTCTTTGTCTACTTATATTGGTTGCTAAATTTCTTTTTTCTGGCTCTTGAAATGTAAATCCAAAGTATTCTTTTTTGATTTCTAAACTGACATAGTCACATAATTTTAAATGTCCTTCGCATCTTACAACTGATTCATTGCATTTATGTTCACAATAGTTACATTTAGCACGTCCCTGTTTATAATCTGGGTCTGGTCCAAGTTTTGTAAAATGATGCCAAATTGGATGATTACCACCCATATTATAATAATATTAAAAGAGTGACTGAATAATATTTATATATTGATTATAACAAGGATAAAATTACAGGTAAGTAAAGAATACTAACGACAAAAAAATTAAATTTTTATTGTATATATACTTAATTATACATATGTACGTATAGTTTAATTTTATTTACATACAAAAATAATGCATAATGCATATTATTTGTATATGTAATACAGAATTTAATACAAAAAGTATGACTATTTATTGTTTTGTTATATTGTATAACTATCACTATTATGTATTAAATTAAAAATTTATAGAGATTAAACTGCCAAATTTCCTATTTCATATACTCATCTAAAAATTTAATCATTTTATATAAAATAAAGAACAATTAACATATTGGAGATAAGCTAAACTTAGTAGTGGCTTATTTTAAGTTTTGGTAGTATACACAAAATTAAGTTGTTAATAAGTACATATTTATTCTTGGCGCATTACTTTTATATAAAAAATTAAAAATTTTAGATTCTTTCGTTATTAATATTAACAGTTTAAGAAATTAAATTTTCTATGTGGAATGATAAACAAATAAAAGGTTCTACAGAGAAATGCGTGCATATGTACATTAATAACAAATTAGGAATTGGCCTGATTATGTTAATGCAGGCCGGATTAGATGTAATGTAGGCCAGATGAAAAGCTAATGTGGGCTGAATAATTTCATATTAAAAATCCCGCGCGGGATCCAAAAAAATCCCGCGCATCCCGCGCGTTGCCCATCACTAGATATCGGATCGTCCCGATTACCAATTGTACGAAAATATAAATGGTAATCTTTACGATGACTACGTTAGGAAATCGATTATTCAAATATAGACGACAAGAAGAAATATAACATAATAACAATAATAAAAAAATAAATATAGAAATGATAAAAAGATACAAATATAGAATAGAATAAAAATGAAAAAAAATAAACGTCTATCATCACAAATAGTGTGATAAAAAAAATTTTGTCAGGTGACGATAGTCACACCGGATAAACCGGGATTTTTAATCCGATTTGACTAATTATGGTTGTTGATAGAATTCAAAAAATTCAAATAAGGAAATTTCAATAATAATTGCGCCAGCCTTACTAAAGCGAGTGATAACGAACAGAAGAATACCCAAATTACCATGCAGAGAACCATTCTTTAATAATCCTTAACATCATACTCTTTAACCAACTTCATTATTGTTCATTACCGGTTTATTGACATTGTGTAGGATATATGCGATTATGGTTTTATCTATAGTTGGCGGCAGAATTCATAAAAGGGAATTTCAATCTACCACCAACTAAAGGCAGAGCGTTTAGCTAAATTTTAGTAAATTGACATCTGTGACTGGGGTGTACGACATCAGTCTAATTACAAATATAGTCAGGTCATATAATGATCACCAATCAAGATTTTTTATAGTGAACCGCAGATCAACGATAATTTAATAGTAAAAAACATAGAAAGCTCAAGCTGCAATAACTCTTTAACCAGCAAACCCACGCAATTATAATTATATTTGTCAGGTTCGTTATAATGTGTTCTTTAATGTGACAACGCTCTTTTTTTTTTTTTTTTTATTTTGTTGTCTAGAGCGTAGCGGGGAAATAATGTAATACCAAAATTCTCGTTTTTTGATTATTATTAATAAAATTATCAAAAACGTAGCTATTGCAACATGCACAAAAATTCAAAGTTACATTTTTGATGTTTTTGTTAATAATTAATCAAAAGCGGGAATTTTGGTATTACATTATTCACCCGCTACGTTCTAGACAATAAAAAAAAAGAACGTTGTCACATTAAAGAGCACATCATAACGAACCCGAAAAATATAATTATAATTGCGCGGGTTTGCTGGTTCAAGAGTTATTACAGCTTGAGCTTTCTATATTTTTACTATTAAATTATCGTTGATCTGCACGATAAAAAATTCTTTATTAGTGATCATCATTATATGACCTGCACTATATTTGTAATTAGACTGATGTCGTACACCCCATCCCAATTGACAAATTTAGATTTTGGGCATAACATATACGTATATATTTCTTCATTTTGTTAATGTGCTCGCATTGTTTTGCTTACTTCCATATTAGTACATTCGCATAGGTTTATACAATACGATTTTAATGGAAAACCTGCAGCTAAAAAAATACTAATAAGTCAACTGAAATAGGGTAGTACCGGTATAAGCATGCGTACCATGCAAATGCATGATTACAAGCATGCATGGCACAATGCGCTTTAGTCATGACCATAGATAGATGTTACACATACGATATGATCGGAAGCTAAGCACATATTCAAATTTAAAAGTAAAAAAACGTGAAAAATAGGAGTCGCGGTCTGAACCACATTAATGAAAAATGTAGAAGACAATTTACTATGTAGCCATATCTACCTTTATAAAGTAAAGTATTAATTATTTTAATTTTAGACGTTCACTTACTCGGTTTTGGCAGTAGGTCTGCTCTGAACTACTGTATATAAAAAAAGCTGACACTATATAGTATGTGCATGTACACAGATCACACACATTTTAAATGGAAAAACGAATCGGTTAAAAATGAAAACTTTAATAAAAAAGAATTTGGAACTGCAGATAAATGTTTCTATATTTACGAAATAAATCTTATAAATACATAATTAACCCTACGCTATACTTATACAGAATTGATGAATACAAATGTCACATATAGATTTCTATGTCTTATTTAACATTGATTAATAGAAAATCAAAATTTTAGCGTAATTTCATAAATTGCCATAACGGCATACGCTTTATTACAACATAAATGGAAAATTAAAATAGTAGTAGTAGTATTCGATTAGTTGATCGACAGTTAAAGATTCACAGAAGATATTTGCATCGATCAAAGATTCTTCATACTGAGGAGTATCCGAATTTGAAGGATAATCAAGTTGATCGAATATAGGAGAATTTGGGTTTTCCAGTTGGACTTTCGCCACGTTTACATCAAAGATAATCTGGTAAGTTCTTTCTTTTTGTCTTCTTTTCTCGATTCTTTTTGAAACTTCTGCATACGCATTTTTAATATCTGGTTTTTCGTTCTTCCATGCTTGAGACGCTAATTTTGAAATTTGCGTCATTCTCATTTTTTTTCCACTTGCTATGGACCGTTTCGTATATTCTTTCCTGTATACAAAAAAAGCGTTCAAGTATTTATTCCCCTTTGAAATAGTTGCAAATTCATCGATATTAAACTGTTCTATTTCTCGAATATTCGGCATTTTGATTCGTGGTTCTGACATTATGAAATAAAATAAAAGCCAGGCAGTTTTGAAAAGAGGTTTTGAGTGATCAAAATAATTCAAAACTGAAGAATATTCAGAAAAGAACGAACAATTTATAAAAAAAAAATCGATAATGATCCTATTTTAGTCGAATAAACCAAAGAGATTCAATTTTTTTGGTGATGACACAGTGAAACCTCCTTAAATGCACCTCTCTAAAATGTGCAACCTCTCTAATACACTCTTAAATTCCGGCCCAAATATATACATGCCCTTTAGAAATATTGTTCTCTAAATAAACGGAGTTTGATCCTATCTGATGCATTTTGAGAGATCTGACTGTACATATTTTTTATATTAAGGTCTTTTTTATTGTCAGCTATTCATTTTTTGTAAGCAATAATGTCAAATATAACGATTGTTAATACTTGTTTATTTTTTATCATGAAATAATGTAATTAGATGTAAGAGAGTAGAACTGACCTATTTTTGGTTTATTTTCTTTATATATTGCCATATCTGATATTTCATTCTTCGCGTTAGCTAATCAATGAATATTTAAAGTCTTAGCCGAGTCAATTTAAAAAATGCGTATATAACGGTTCACCTGAAAAAAGTTAACAAGCTTATAAACTTTAACAAAGACATATTTCCGCGTAAGACAATTGATAATATATGTCGCGTATTAATCGCATACAATAGATTCCAATTAATAAACTTTAATAAAGACATATTCCCCGTAAAGCATTGAATAATTGATAATGTATTTCACGTATTAATCGCATACAATAGGTGTCAATTAAAATTTCATTTAGCTTTAAGAAAGGTTTATACTAAATTAAATAAAGAAACAAATTTATTCATGATTAATTAATTTTAATATCGTACATTATGAATTATACTTTGTAAACATTCAGGAGGCATGCTCTATAAAAGTCACGTTCTTGAATGCTTTTTTTGGATTTTTTTTTTTTCGGACACAATATTCTGCAAAGTTCCAAAAAAATACTTACAAAAGATCTTAAACAATTTTTTTATTTAGCCTATAAAGATATCCAAATTCATTAATTTTATTTATTTCTTTGTTTCGTATAGAATAATTTGAATGCAATTCGCAGAAAGTTTCTCATCAATATCTTTATTATTATATCCTATATGCAAAGAAAATATATGTATAGAGCTCCAATCATTCAATTTTCATAAGTTCCGGAATAACTGAAAAAAATTTCCGATAATCAAATCGATAAATTTTAAGTTCGGCCGAAGTTAGTTTCAGAAATTATCATTGTGAAATCAGCTGTATCATGCTATTTTATTTTCATACGTACTAGAATTAATATGGGTTAACAGCTATTTTTCTTTAAATTTTGATTGGCTAGAAGTTTTTTTAAAGTAGTCGGGTTTCACAAGTCGAAAAAAGGTAATATGCACATACGCGCCTACGTAAAAATTTTAATCTATATATTATTATATAACAGATTACTGTATTGTTAATTTTAATTGTAAAGTTTAAAATAAAGTTAGTTGATTATAATCTTTTATGCGATAAAAAACAAGTGCAGATCTATAGTCAACATGTAATTAATTTCTTATCTGATATATAAATAACAAATTATGTAATGGAGCTTCTTGTCCGTTATATTTATAAAAAAATATATTTGTCAGTTACTAAGCTATAATGGATGTAGCTTCAATAAACTATGAACGTGAATTGTTCAATAGCACATCTAGTCATCTTGTGCATTTAATTGAAACCGAAACGCTTGGTAATGTAAGATTGTATATTTAATTGAAACAGAAACGCTTGGTAATGTAAGATTGTGCCATTAATGCCATCAAGAATATTTAACAAGCTTGATTTCCATTGATAGCCATAATAATGCCTGAACAATAAATTTTCGTTACATTTCAACAAACAAATATATAAAATTTTTTTATAGAATTCTCTTCATTTAGCATTCTAGAACTCTTTCATCTGGAATTCCCTATCAAAAACTTCTTGTCATGATCAGAAATATAATTACGTTCACTTGCATATTTTAATGGATCATTTGCCTGATAACATAAAAATTATCTGGATTGTTCGTTTGTTAAAATTACACGAGATATAAACTTTCACTTATTTAATCTGAAAATCTTTGATATTGCATGGACCTTTGCCAAGCAAAATGGATGACTAAAGAGAGTCCCTAAGGGGACAGAGTTCCAAACAGTCATATGTAAGACTCGATGCTTATCGGCGTAACTTCGCATGCTTTTGCATTTTAATTATAAAATACACATGCAAATGTGAGTCGAGGCCAGACCTGGCTTTAGGCCAAGTTTTGATATAATTTGGCTTTTGTAATCGAGTTAGACCAGACTGGAATTTTAAGTCATTACTATCTTGGGTAAATTTGAATTCAAATTTTTCGTGCCCATGCTATATGCTCATTTCAATTCATCTCAAATTTTGGTCATTATATCGATATGAGCAAACGTTAAATGTCGACATGCAATGTTTGGCCATTTTAGTTTCATGTCCAACTTAATGTAACCTAATTTGTCATTAGTTTACAGTCATAAGGTCACAATTATATTTAGTAAACTAGTTATAACAGGTATATATATGTATATAATAGAAACAGATTATCCGATGCTTAAAAATAATTATTAGACAACTTTAACGTTAATGTAAATTGAGTTTATATATATATATTATTAAAAATATAGAATCCTAATGAAGTATGTTGCACATTTCTATAAAGACGGGGAATCACGTTACATCATATGATATACATACAAAATTTTGTGAATTCGACCAGTCAAGATTAGTTATTTTGTGCGACTTAGGAAAATCATAGCTACCCTGGAAACTTGATTATATACTGCAGTACTGTATATTGTGCCTCAGACATCATAGGCAGAAATTCGTCTAATTGGTTAATTTTTGTAGATCTACCCGTGATTATTAGCCAATCAATTTCATAGTTTTATTACAATATCGGCATTAACTATTAACGAAAAACTGCAAGAAAACGAAAGCCTTATACGTAGGAAG